TCAACAAGTTGCTCCAAAAGCCACGTTGAGACTTTGGAAATCAGAGTCTCATCATCTAAAAATGCTTGCCCTTCCAAAATGACAGCATTGTTGGAAAGAGGTGGGAAATGATGTGAGGTCGGGTGAATAATGGAGATGTGGTCGAATGTCAAAGGCACAGAAGCATGCTTCTTCCATTTGGACAACAGGTGAGCTGTGAACTGGTGAAGGTGGACACATTTGGTGAGAATGCCACATTGTCGCTTGGTTTTGACGGCCTCCCACAATTTCTGCAGCAGTGAAGCATAGTATGACCCAGTGATCATGGTACCCTTTGCTAGGAAATCCATCCATCCTACTCCCAAAATATTGTGAGCATGACCTTGCCTGCTGAGAGTTGGGCATGTGACTTCTTTGGAGGCAGTGAGTTATGATGCTTCCATTGCATCAACTCAGTCTCAGGATCATAGTGATGAACCCAGATTTCATCCTGTGTGATTGTTCTGTTGAAAAAGTCCTCCTAGTTTCCATGGCACATCATTAACAAAGCCTGAGAGCATTCAACTTGTTCTTGCTTCTGGAAAGGTGTGAGCAGCCAGGGACTCAGCAAGCAGATACCGTATGCAGATAAGATGGTCTTGGGTGATTTTTTTCCAGATCGCACAGTAATCTTGATACTGGTTGCCGCAAATGGTTATGTGACAATTTTCCAAAATGGCGACCTCCACTTGCAGGATGGTGTGTTCATCAATAGCAATGTGGGGTCACCCTGGAATTAAAGCTGTTTGACCGAAGTCCAACCACATTTGAATTGACAATGCCAGTTAATGACTCCATCATATGGCGGGGAATGCTCACCATAAACCTCTTTCATCTTATCGAATGTCTCCTTTGGTGTGCAGACTTTCAAGTAAAGGAACTTGATGACTGCTCTGTATTCCACTGGGTCCATTATCAAACCTCACACATCAGCAACTGGAACTGTTATCAGTTCTGAGTTGTAAATTGGTACGTAACCTATAGAGACTTATATCATTACACATGTGCAGTTTCAGCATCCTGTGATAAATAGAAGTGGGTCAGGGGAAATCTTTAATGACCAATCATCGTATTTAGAGAATGGCTGGGAGTTGTAGTCCAAAGAAGCGGCTTTCCCCCAGCTCTACGAATTCAGAATTGGACCACAAAAAGAACTCAGCCTTATGCACGACTAGGTAGGGCCCTTTCCGGCAAATGACCTCTACTGCACAGAGGGCAATCCATCCGGAAACAAAAATTCCTGAATCTCCAAACAGGTCTTTAATGTAATGACAAATTTCACAGGTGAATGCAGCTATAAGGTTTCAACACATCACTACATTTATTTGGAAGCTTTACATATCTAATCTCCACCTTCCCGGCTCAATTCTGACACCTGAAGCCATCCTCCTTGTTCACAAAAGTAGATGCAGGGAAGGCGGTCCATGCTTATTCTTATTCTCACCACCTACGACCTCAAGATTACAGGACATCCACTGACTCACAGAGCCCTCTCGCTTCAGCAAAACAGATGCTCTGAAGGAGACTGCTTATCAGGAGGAAATAATAATACTTTGTTTTAAACACCCCCAAACAGATTACACAGGCCGTCTCAGAAACAGAGAGATTAATTTGCATGGGAAGCTAAGACCCAAAAGCCGGAGAAGGTGAAGACTCCAGATGAGCTTGGGAGACACAAAGCTGAAGAAAGAAGCTAGAAAGTGAGTCAAGGTGAACGGCGAGATAAGAAGAGTGAGAAAGAAAGAGTCCCTGGAGCCTCTGGTGTGAAAAGGCATCACCAAGATGCTCCTGAGAAAAATGTATAATATCACAAAGGACTACCATCTCACCCGCCTCATAGGAAACCTGCTACAAAACAGGAGCTTCTTTGTTGAGTTCCAGGGCCAGAGAAGAAGATGGCAGAAGCAGGAGAACGGCCTGCCACAGGGGAGTGTGCTTGCTCCATCAATGTTCAACATTTACACAAATAACCAGAAGGGACGGACAGCTTCATCTATGCTGATGATCGTGCCATTACTGGTCAAGCAGGCAGCTTTGAGACTGTTGAAAAGAAGCTCTCCCAAGCTCTAGGTGCTCTTACAGCGTATTACAGGGAAAACCAGCTGATCCCTAATCCATCTAAAACACACACATGTGCTTTTCACCTTAAGAACAGACAAGCATCCCGGGCCCTGAGGATGACCTGGGGAGGAATCCCACTGGAGCATTGCAGCGCACCCAAATACCTGGGAGTCACTCTGGAACATGCTCTGACCTACAAGAAGCACTGCCTGACTATCAAGCAAAAGGTGGGTGCTAGAAACAATATCATACGATAGCTGACTGGCACAAGCTGGGGATCACAACCAAACATAGTGAAGACATCTGCCCTTGCGCTATGCTACTCTGCTGCCGAGTATGCATGCACAGTGTGGAACACATCTCACCACACTAAAACAGTGGATGTGGCTCTTAATGAGACATGCCGCATTATCACAGGGTGTCTGCGCCCTACACCACTGGAGAAATTACACTGTCGGTATTGCGCCACTTGACATCCGCCGGGAAGTAGCAACCTATAGTGAAAGGACCAAGGCAGTGACATCTCCAGCTCATCTCTTGTTTGGATATTAGCCAGCACGTCAACAACTTAAATCAAGAAATAGTTTTCTAAGATCTAAAGAGATGCTCGCTGGAACACCTCAGCAAGCGAGAGTCCAAAAGTGGCAGGCCCTCAAACCCAGAACCTCAATCAATGGCTGATACCAAATGAGAGACTCCCCCTGGGCACACAGAAAACTGGGCGACTTGGAAGGCACTGAACAGACTGTGCTCTGGCACTATGAGATGCAGAGCTAACCTCAAGAAATAGGGCCACAAAGTGGAAATGTGAGTGTGGAGAAGAGCAAACCACAGACCACCTGCTGCAATGCAACCTGAGCCCTGCCACATGCACAATGGAGGACCTTCTTGTGGCAACACCAGAGGCACTCCAAGTGGCCAGATACTGGTCAAAGGACATTTAATCAACTACCAAGCTTGCAAACTTTGTGTTTTGTCTGTTTGTCTGTTTGCTTTGTTAAAAATGTAATACAAATGTCTGGTTGCTTCTGGCACAATGAATAATAATAAAAAGAACCAAGATGCTGCTTCAAAGACCATAAATCCAACATTCCCAAGCTGAGCATAAACGTAACAGCCCAACCCAACACAAATAATATAAACAGCCACTTTCCATGTGAAGGACTGCATCTTCCAGAAGACGAAGCTTCCAGGTTTTCCAGTCCAACACACTTGGGAGTATATGGATGTCCTATCTACATCTATATAAATAAAAATGTTTGTGGGATTAACGTAACTCAAAAACCACTTGACAAATTGCCGCCAAATTTGGCCACAAGACACCTACTAATCCAAGGACTGACCATCACTCAAAAAATTGATTTTGTCATTTGAGAGTTGTAGTTGCTGGAATTTACAGTTCACCCACAATCAAAGAGCATTCTGAACTCCGCCAACGATGGCACTGAACCAAATGTGGTACACAGGACTCCCATGACCAACAGAAAACACTAGAAGGGTTTGGTGGGCATTGATCTTGAGTTTTGGAATTGTAGTTCACCAACATGCAGAGAGCACTGTGGACTAAAACAATGAAGGATCTAGACACAATTTGTCATGAATACTCTATATCAGCATTTCTCAACCTGGGGGTTGAGACCCCTAGGGGGGTCACAAGGGAGAGCCAGAGGGGTCACCAAAGACCATCAGAAAACACAGTATTTTCTGTCGGTCATGAGGGTTCTGTGTGGGAAATTTGACCCAATTCTATCATTGGTGGGGTTCAAAATGCTCTTTTATTGTAGAACTATAAATCATAGCAACTACAACTCCCAAATGTCAAAGTCTATTTTCCCCAAACTCCACCAGTGTTCATATTTGAGCATGTTGAGTATTTGTGCCAATTTTGGTCCAGGTCCATCATTGTTTGAGTCCACAGTGCTTTCTGGTTGTAGGTGAACTACAACTCCAAAACTCAAGGTCAGTGCCCATCAAACCCTCCAGTATTTTCTGTTGGTCAGGGGAATCCTGTTCCAAGTTTGGTTCAATCGCATCATTGGTGGAGTTCAGAATGCTCTTTGATTGTAGGTGAGCTATAAAACCCAGAAACTACAACTCCCAAATGACAAAATCAATCCCCCCAATCCCACCAATATTCAAATTTGGGCCTATCAAGTATTTGTGCCAACTTTGGTCCAGTGAATGATAATACATCCCGCATATCAGATATTTACATTATGGTTCATAACAGTAGCAAAATTAGTTATGAAGTAGCAACAAAAAATAATGTTATGGTTGTGGGTCACCACAACATGAGGAACCCCCATGACCAACAGAAAATACGTAAGGCCATCCAGTCCAACTCCCTTCACCAGGACAAGAAAACATAATCAAAGCCCTCCTGACAAAGAGCCATCCAGCCGTAGACATAGATAGATACACATGATTCACACACACAGATATAGTATCATAGATTTGGAAGGGGCCCCTAAAGAAGGACAATTATATGCTGCATGTTCCAGAGTGGGCAAATCTGACAATCTCCACATCTACACTGACAAAAAAAGCAAAAAATATTGTTTACCCACAAGCAGAAAGACATTACATATATTAGAAACCAACACTTTCTAAATACTTTATTTTCCAGATCAACAGACTGGGTCACAGCAACGTGTGGCTGGGGACGGCTAGTATAAATGGAAAATTGACAGAGAAATGTAAACAGAGATGGTAACAATGCCTCCATCCTCCTACAACCCAAAGTCTCCAGGATTTTACAGTTTCCACACAATCGTCCCATTCTTCTTTCCTTGTCGAGCACTTGCTCTATCAGTTGAGTAAGGAGGAAAAATTTAACTCCATGAGAGGCAGAATAGATGTGCGTTATCTATCTAGCACCTTAGCTGCCACTACTTCCTTGCCACAGTGGTACATATACATACCTCCTTCCACAGTGCCAGAAGCCAGTCCATCGTGGTTGTCGGAGGTCATCAACATCTCCACAATCTTCCTGCTGGTCAGGGCCTGCGCAAGGAGAACCATCGACATTCAACATTATGGGATTCAAACATCAATATGACTGACATCAGGGGTAAAGTGGGGATTTGAGCATATTGTATACACTCATGTATAAGCTAGCCTCCGTGTGTAAGTCAAGGGCAGGTTCAGAGGTCAAAATTATGGATTTTGATATGACCGACAGCTAAGTCAAGGGTCATTCCATCAAGAAGGAGAAGTGTGATTGCTGCCTCAGGACACCAGTCAAGCCTTGGAGCTTCTTTAAGACTCTTGCTGTTTACTGCACAACATTTTTTAGTAAGAGTTACGCCATAGCACCTAGCCCTCCTCAACGGTGACACCCTTTGAAATCTTGCTCCCTCTTTACCTTCTCTTCTTCCAGCTAAACATCCCTCAGGAGGAAAGAGGAAGGAAAAAGAGAAGGAAGGGAGAGAAGAGGAGAAGGATGGATGGATGGATGGATGGATGGATGGATGGAAGGAAGGAAGGAAGGAAGGAAGGAAGGGCAGAAAGAAGGGCGGAAGAAGGGAAGGGAGAGAGGAAAGAGAGAAGCAAGGAACAACCAAAAGGAAGGAAGGAAGGAAGGAAGGAAGGAAGGAAGGAAGGAAGGAAGGAGAAGAATGGAAGGAAGGAAAGGTGGAATGGAATGGTGGGAGGGAGAGAGGGAAAGAGGGAAGAAAAGAGAGAAAAAGGAACAAAAAGGGAAGGAGGGAGGGAAGGAGAGGGAGGGAAGGAAGGAAGAAGAGGGGGGGAAGGGAGGGAGGGGAAAGAAGGAAGGAAGGAAAAAAGAGGGGGAGGGAAGGAAGAAAGAGAAGGAAGGAAGGGGAAGGAAAGAAGGAAGGAAAGGTGGAAGGAAGGGGGAAGGAAGGGAGGGAGGGAGGAAAGAGAGAAAAGAAAACAAAAGGAAGGAAGGAGGAAGGGAAGGGAAGGAAAGGAAAGGAAGGAAAGGAAGGGAAGGAAGGAAGGGAAAGGGAAGGGAAGGGAAAAGAGGAAGGGAAGGGAAGGGAAGGGAAGGGAGGGGAAGGGAAGGGAAGGGAAGGGAAGGGAAGGGAAGGGAAGGGAAGGGAAGGGAAGGGAAGGGAAGGGAAGGGAAGGGAAGGGAAGGGAAGGGAAGGGAAGGGAAGGGAAGGGAAGGGAAGAGAAGAGAAGAGAAGAGAAGAGAAGGGGAGGGGAGGATAGATGGAGGAAGGAAGGAAGGAAGGAAGGAAGGAAGGAAGGAAGGAAGGAAGGAGGAAGGGAATGATGGGAAGGGAGGGAGGGGGGAGGAAAGAGAGAAGCGAGGAACAACCAAAAGGAAAAAAGGAAGGAAGGAAGGAAGGAAGGAAGGAAGGAGAAAGACAGAGAGGGAAGGAGAAAGGAAAGAGGGAAGGAAGAAGGATGAAGGGAAGGAGGGAAAGAGAAAGAGGGAGGGAAGGAGGAAGGAAAGAGAGAAGGAAGGAAGGATACAATTATGAGAGAGAGGATGGCCTGGAAAAAAAGAGCCCAAAGGTCCACATCTGGCTCCCATGCCTGAGTTTGCCCATACCTGACCTGTGGATAAATTTTCACTAAATTTTCTAGGATTATACATGAGTATATACAATCTTTATTACTGGAACCAAAAGGATCTCTGAACCAAAGTTCATTCGAGCAGCTGCTTTAGAGGGCAACCGGAAGCACAGACATGGACAGGAGGTCCTCTCTTGACTTGAGCCTATTTATACTTATCCTGTGACCTAATTTACAGGTCACAGACTTTCATAAGGACCATACTTCACACCCTGATTTCCTTTTGTACTGCTTTTTCTTCAGAGCCTGAAATAGCCCAGTAGCCCTGGCACAGTGTCCCAAACAACTGACTTCTGCAAGCACGTCTTTATTCCACCCATGGGACTCACTGCAGCTAAAATTCAAGTGTTTATAATTAGTGCTGAGTTTTCACTTTTTCTCTCCTTCAGATGTAAATCAGCACACCCTTTGGATTCTATCTTTACAATCAATAAGGTCTTTAATACTCTCCAAGAGTTCAGTAGTATATACTATGTTATATATGACCATCAACAAATATTAATAATAGGCTAATGGAACTTTTAAAAAATAGGCATGTTGAGTTTGTGTTGTCGGCATGAGAGCACGAGACCGAGCTGCATCCTGAGCTTGCAGAGTGATGCAAGAACAACAAAAATAGAAACAGCCAAGGGAGGCCCAGGTGTACGTGCACTCAAATCATCACATCATGATGCCTTTCTAAATAGTATCTCCCACATCTGGTGCAAAGTGGGTGTCAGAAGCAGAGAGAACTCAGCCAGATATATATGGAGATGCAGATGATCAGAAAATAGAAGGTGTGAAATGTGCCCAGCAGATTTAGACAAATGTTGTTTTGCTCACAGTTTGAAGGGATCCCTCTTCAGGCAAATCTAGTTCTCCCTTGTACCAAAGAGTCGGGCACGGCCTGGGGTCTGAGGATAATTTCTGTAGCCACCTGGTTTCTCCAGGCATCACACAAGTACGTCTCTACTTGAAACAGAAGAGACAAGAAAGTCTCATCTGGTTTCTTTCAACCATCAAAATGCTGAGGTTTGTTTTAAAGGAGAAAGGTGCCACCAGAGAAATGATCAGTGTGGATCTGTGGATGCTCAAATCCCATTATATGTAAAATGGCATGGCTTATGGATCTGGCAAGGGTGGTCCACATCTTAGTCACCTCCAGATTGGACTACTGTAATGCACTCTACGTGGGGCAGCCCGGAAATTTCAACTGGTCCAACGGGCGGCGGCCAGGTTGTTAATGGGGGCCCCTTACAGGGAGAGGTCAACCCTCCTTTTTAAGGAGCTCCACTGGCTGCCATTCATTTTCCGGTCCCAATTCAAGGTGCAGGTGCTTACCTACAAAGCCCTAAACGGTTTGGGACCCGCCTACCTGCATGACCACATCTCTGTGTACGAACCCACACGATCTCTTCGTTCATCTGAAGAGGTTCTGCTCACAATCCCACCTGCATCGCAAGCGCGATTGGTGCGGACGAGGGATAGGGCTTTCTCGGTGGTGGCCCCTCGACTCTGGAACTCTCACCCTAAGGACATCAGACAGGCCCCGTCGCTAACAATCTTTGGGAGGAGCTTGAAAACGTGGTTGTTCCAGTGTGCCTTCCCAGAATAAGAAAACTCCTAGCATTATGTCCCAACGCACTTTATCAGAGATCTAGGATATCTGCATGCCCACCCCACTCCAAACACTCCACCTGGTCACACCCAGCACTTTTTAATTTTATTTATTACATTTGGCCCTGCCATTGATTTTAATTGTGTTATTGTGTGTTGTTAATGTATTGCTTTGTTTTCTGAGTTATTTTGTTGCTGTTGTTGTTATTGTTTTTACTATTGTATTTGGGCTCGGCCTCATGTAAGCCGCACCGAATCCTTCGGGAGATGGTAGCGGGGTACAAATAAAGGATTATTATTATTATTATTATTATTATTATTATTATTATTATTATATAAAGTGGGTTTGCTTTTTGGAATTTATTTTGGAATATTTTCAAGTCATGGATGGTTGTGTCCATAGACACAGAATCCATGGATAATCTATCCTATATCCTTTGTAGCTGAATCTGATTGTTTTCCAAGGGGACAGTCTTGGCAGTAGGCCTGTAAGTGACTTTAGAGACCTCTTATGGATCCATGTGGTCTTTTTMACATTTACTGTATATACTCGAGTAKAAGGCTAATTTTTCAGCCYCTTTTTTAGGCTGAAAAAGTTCCCCTTGGCTCGAGTCAAGGTTATTTATTATTTTACTCTTTTATTAGTATCATTTTTATTACATTTATTATTTCACTCTATTATTATTATTATTATTATTATTATTATTAYWWTTACATTATTTTACWYTATTATTAYTYTATTACATTTATTATTTTACTCTATTATTATTATTATTATTATTTATTTATTTTACACAAGCCGTCCCCTGCCACGCRTTACTGTGGCCTATATATATATGGGGGTTCTGTGTGGGAGRTTTGGCCCAATTCTATGGGTGGTGCTCTGTTATTGGGGTATGGTCATCTTTCCAATATTTTGCGAAGGTTATTCGTGCTGCAGTAGTAATATAGGTGAAAAGAATATCCTCATTACTATTTAAGTTTAAGTCTTTGTCCGTAAGTCCTAATAGGAAATATTCCAGATTGCGTGGGATTTTTTTTTTTTTAATCTTTTGGGTTTCTTCTTGTACAGCACGCTAATATTTGGTGGATTCCGGGCATGTCCACCACATGTGGTAGAAGCTTCCTAGTTGTACTTTACATTTCCAGCATAAGCTTTGATGGTTCTTATACATCAAGCTCAACTTTTGGGGCGACATGTACCATCTATGGAAAATTTTCAGCCAATGCTCTTTGAGGTCTACTGAATAAGTATATTTTAATTTTTTCATCCAAATTTGTTGCCATTCCTGGATTTTTATTTGTCTGCCTATGTTTTTTGCCCAGATTATCATACAGTTTTTAATTTTTTCTGTTTCGGTTTCCCAATCTAACAATTGATTATATAATTTTGTTATATTTTTCTTTTCTGTTTTCAGCAGTTTGTCCCAAAATACCTCCTTGTCCTCGAATCCAACCAATTTATCCTGTTTATATACTTCCCAAATTTGGAGATATTGGAGCCAGGTTAGATTCTCATATCTCTGTACGAGATCCTCCTGAGATTTTGATTCTAAAATGTTGGGTTTTTCCCCAATAAGTCATTATATGTTGGCCATAATTGCCAACCCAAAAGTCTTCTCTGTTTTGCCTCAATCGGCGATATCCACAAAGGAGTTTTTGTGTAAAAAATATCTTTTATATTTATCCCAAACCTTGATAGGTGCTGACCGAATAAAATGATTCCCATTTATTTTTCAATTTTTGTTTTGTCATACCAAATGTATGAATGCCATCCCACTCTCAAATCAAATCCTTCTAGAGTCAAAGTTTTTTCATTTTTTAGGGAGGCCCATTCTTTAATCCAAGTTAATGCGCAAGCC